ACCCCCCCCCCCCCCCAAAAAAAGCAAAAATCAATTCAGGGACCGACGACTGAGCCCACAAGGACATCAAGCATGACTGAGTGTACTGCATTTTAAATATTTGCTTTTAGTTGGTTTTGTCCTCTAATCAAGCAATTTTAAAAGCTGAGATTTTATTTTAAATAGCCAAAAATGCTATTTATGTCATGATAAATGCAATGCATATTTAATGGTCACAGCGTGAAGAGTCAGTATACTGTAGCTACAGTTGCTTGCATCCAAATTAGCAAAAACGTTCTGAAAATGATTTTGGAAACATGGTGGATTTTTATAACATGGGCAATAAAACCCTGTTTGGATTTCTTTTTGATTTGCTGATATTCAAGGCAGATGACATGCTCCGAGTAAAAATCCTCACTAATTTTCATACTACATCATCAGTTGCTCAGCACACAAACATCAAACACAAATATCTACATCATCTACAATCAAACAGACTATAACACAAAGAAATCGCTTCTTGTCCCAGTGGGCATGTTGTGTATGTGCGTGCATGGGTGCCCGAGTGCAAGCACGCATCTGTAGCCGAAGCGTGTCAAGTGATCCACACAGGATATTAAAGCTGTCTATTCTAATCACTTTCTTACACAACTTTGCCCACTCGCCATTAACCACGCTTGCATACGCGATCAGCTTTTGGGGGCGGATTAAGAGTGAACTTGCTAGCACGTTTTTTAATCAGTGGAGGAGTGATCCCTACAAGACTGTGGGTGAGGGATATAAGGACAGACCTTGTGACATCGGGAAAGCGAATCGGGAAGTGAAGGACACGGCACTTGGGCCGGATGAGTCGGTCCAGATCTTTGGGCCGATGGTCAGGCATGGTCTTCATGAAGGTAGAGATGGAGGAGAGAAAAGACTCCATGTTGAATGCGGAGTTGAACACCACCACATCCGCAACCAGGCTGGGGAAACATTGACATTTCAGATGACGAAGGATGAAATATACTGACAATCAAAGCCACAAAATGTCAAACTGTCACAATAATGCTCCTTAATTAATTCTCCAAACTGAGCGTTATTAAAAACAGCGTATGTTTTGAAAAGCGAACTTCACTCGTATATGAAAAGCCGACGTCTCCAGTAATTAGTCACTTTAAATATCTAATACATGTTGATTAGAATCCACAGACACAAACACACCATGTTTTTAAATGGCACACTGATTAACCCCAATTGCCAGAATCAATCACTGCATTGCGCTCAATTAGAGAGTGAATTAGAGGAGCCGAGCGCTTTTTTGTGTTACTGTTCTGCCACGTTAATAAAGTTGAGCAAGCAAAGGGCCTTTGAATTATTGACATGATACTCTGACAGACAACAATCACAATGTATTCCAATTAGAGCTCTTAAAACCCTTTCTTTCAAGCATCAAGATTGATTATGACATTAGGCTTTAAAATAGCGAGTTCTTAAGAATTAGAGCGCCATTATATGATCCCATAATTAACCAATCACATCATGCCAAGTAACGCGCATGATAAACTATTCTGTCTCAGACACACTGTCTCTCTTGTGAATTAAAATCCAGTCTGGTACAGAAATGGTACTTGTTATACACAGACTGTACTGACATATTAGCATACGTTAAGATGACCAGATTTCTGAAAATCAAAACATGGGAAATTTCTCATTTTAATTTCTAATGTTATTTGATATGAATTCAAAAGTCCTCCTTTTTTAATTCATAGTTAATAACATTAGAAATTAAATTTGTTTTGTGTATTTTGATCATGGTTAATGTAGTAATGTTGTGAAGCATGACACACTGTATGATACTTTGACATTCTACTGCTATACTATTTAGTCGACAATCCACACTTATGAACTGTAAAAACTACTTAAACAGAAATTACACACGTGTGTGCATGTGTAATATCCAGCACAATAGATAAGTCTGGTAACCCTAATAGTGTTGGGCGATATGGTCATTTTTCAAATCGTCATATCGCCAGCGAGATCGCCGATACACGATATTATCGTGCGTGCATGGGTGGTGGCAAGAGAGAAACTCTCTGTACTTGTCATAGGCTATTTCATAACTATCTGGTGTTTTAAACCGTGCGGGCGCGCAAGAGAAAGCCTATGAAAGCACCAAAAATCGAAATAATATACTTTCAAACATACTGATAAACTAACATGTTAAATATAAAAATAAAAACAAGTTTGCCGCATCGACGCACGGAAGTTATCAGTAGGCTATAAATGGTCTGCAGTCAATGGTGAAAATCAAAAGTAGATTTATTTTAAAGACCAACAGTTTAACACTAAATATTGGACATAAACGAACATGTTAAATATAAAAGTATTTTAAACAGGTAAGTTCATGTATTTGGAGTAAAGTTAAATTGAATGGATACATCAGTCATACAGCGTTCCGGACCACGCGCCCCATGACGCACCGCCACAGAAACAAGAATGAGATGCGTTCTAACATAACTGTGGCATTAAACTCATTAAACTCAGGCTCAGTTAAAATATTGCACATATATAGGCCATTTAGATTACTTGTTAAAGTGCAATGAAATACCTTATATCAGCAGACGATGTACGTCTGTGTTTGTGGATGGAAACTCCTTCTCTGGCTACAGGCTCTAATCCTCATTTGTGCGTGTAAAATGCGGTGCTGAAGTGAAATAGCGGGGCAATTTGGTAATAACAGCCGAATTATAATAGGCTGCCTAATAATAATAATAATAATAATTTAATACATTTATAGGAGAATGAGCCTAATATCGTCATGACTATCGACAAAGACATCTGCTATCGTCGATATCTCTGACTATCATCGATACACGATACTATCGTCTATCGGCACAACCCTAAACCCTAACATATGTTTTTCTTCTAAGTACTTCTGTAAAGTTCATCAGTTGTTACCATGAGAGGATCTGGTTGTAGCCATATTGGAAGTCTCTTTCTTGGCTCTTGCGAACTGGATAGACCAGCTGGTTCTCATGGAAGTAGAGGACCTTCTTTAGACGGGCGAGATCAGGCCGCAGGACTACAAGTTCAGCAAGATTGAGTACGGAGCTGGTAAACAAAACCCTGCGAGACAAAGAAAGGAAAAAACAGATAAAAGAAGGAACCATTAGCTTGCTGGCTGCAACGGTGTTACTTGAATATCAATGCTGCCAGACAGGCCCAAGCACTGATGATTGTTCTGACCACTAAAACCTGCTTTAACAGTTTTTTTTATTATTATTAATAATAATAATAATAATAATAATAATAATAATGGTTTTATAATGTTTTATATGGTTTTATATTACAAATATAAAATGACAAATTTATGAATTGATTGCATTAAGCTATACTGCCAAGTACTATGTAGCCAAGTACTAAAAATAAATAAAATAAAAACTACACCTGAAAATAAACTAAAATTGAAATAAGCAATAATAAAAACTAAAAAGACAAACAAAAAGACAAAGTAATAAAAATGGAAACAGTAACGTTCTGAAACATTATTAAAATTTTAGTTTTAATATAGTTTTAATATATTTTAAAATGCAATTTATTCCTGTGATGGCAAAGCTCAATTTTAATCAGCCATTACTCCAGTCTTTAGTCACACAGTGACACTTTTACTGTCATTTGATGAATTTAGTGTGTCCTTGATAATTCATAAACATATGAATTTCTTTCAAAACAAAAATCATACTGGCCTCAAACTTTTGAACAGTTGTATATATACTACATATAACTAACAACGAAAAAGTTGTGCTTTTGTAATGCAAAATGCATAAAAACTGCAGCTATAGCTGAGGATGCCTGCAACGAAGGTCTCAAATGACTTTAGAGTAAAATATGAAATCCAAGATCTGCAAACGAAAAAATACATAATTTGAAACACAAGAGGACACAAAAATCTCTGCACATTCCATGCTGAGAAAAACATTATTGAGGTTAATGAACACTCCTTTAAGATGTTATATACACAAGTAGGAGACCATTGAAGATTTTGCCCTTGTATGTGCTAAGAGCCATGGGACAAGGGCTTTGAAGTTCAGTTCTGGTCTCCCTAAATGAACCCAGTCCCCTCTTCTAAGCCGCCATCTCCTGTCAGTTTAACCCTGCAGCCGGCTCGCCAGTCTCTTTGATGTGGGGAGCCCGCGGCCTCGCGACCGTGACTCTGTCGCTGTCAGAAGAGTCACTTTTATGCTAATCTACAACCAGCTCCCCCTAACCAATTCTTAATCTTAACTATACGGAAAACCAATCACACTGCTTTAAGATCAGCTTGAAGGGGCAACTTCTACCATTCCATGCCCCCGTAACTGTGCGGCAGGATTACGTCTCTATTCCTCAACTCCATCAAGACGAGCGCAAAGCAGACCTCCCGAATCCTCACTCACACACAACTCTGAAATCAAACCAGATGATAGAAGTTACTATTTTTAGTCTTGCTTTCCTGCTTGAAATTGTCAAGTGGAGTGCGTCCAATACTAATGAAACCGGAAGGTTTACTTCGGCTCCCTTTGAACCGGAGGTGAGGACAGACACTCGAGTCTGATGCATCTTTTTAGGTCAGTCCAGTTGATGTGGTTGCTGAAGCAAGCAGGCAGACGGTAAACGGTATCGTTGCATAAACCTTAATGAGCAATTTCAGGACCCACCAAATGCCAAAACTAAATCTGACTCATCTATTTCAACGGAAAGCGCTTAAAAAAAGTCTCATCTCGATTTAATGCACTTGATAGATATAATCTTCATCCAAGGTGTGTTAACAATCATTCACAGGAGTCATTGTTGGCTCTCATTAAACTGTGACGTAACAGCAACTGTCGCCCACTGACTTTTTCCAGTGCAAACTATTAACCGTAACCAAAGCAGACATTTTGGCTCTGTGAGAACCTGTAAGATAAGAGACACAGTGGGTGGGCAAGCTGCTCTGTGCTGAGTCAGGTTTGTAACTGCATCATCAAAGGTGCCGATCTGGAGAAGCAAGCATTGCTCTTGGCTTAGTACCTTTTCATTATTACTGTATGTTTGGCAAGCATGAATGAAGTAGGAGATGAACTATTTCGCCCATCTCTATTCACTGAAACGGACCACATTCACATATTTTCACAATTTTTGACCGTCTCATAAGGGCAAGTTGCAGATGACCCGGCAGTTGATACAGGTTTTGAAAGTGCGTCCAGGTCATTGACACGTGAAGGGTTATGACTGTGCATATTTGATACCTGACTTTAGGAATGAAACGCCTGTTCTGACTTTTGCTTAACTTCGAATGCAGCGAGATGAGATTGCAGCTGAAGGAATGCTCAGGGCTTCCCCCACCCACCTGCGGTTTCTTCGTCCCTTAAAAGGAAGCAAGAAAGTCCCCAATCGGATCCTAGTCTCTAAACGTGTTTGTGTCCTTGTTTATGCAGTTTTAGAAACTTTATTTGAACCAACACTTCACAGAGTACCACTAAGCAATATAAGGAAACAAGCGTATAATCTCTCTGTGGAGTGCACTATGTGTGGAGGCACCCTTATTCTAATTTTAAAATATAATTGTGAAATGAAAATATTCTGATTCTGGGAATAACAAGATTTGATTTGTCAGCATAAGCTAATGCGTTAGGTATCATGACCTAACAATTAACAATAATTTAGCAGCATTTATTATTTCAGATTAATGTTCATTTCCACATATACGAATACATTTTTCACATTTTAAGTTGTATAAATTAACAGTTGCTGTATTTTAAACGAACATGAGTTTGTAATCAGTATATTAGTTATAGTATAAATAGTATATTTATAAGATTAATTTACATTAATTTAGATAAATGTTGATTAATAAAAAAAACTGTTGTTAATTGTTAGTTCTTATCTGATGAGAACTAAGGAGAATAAATTAAACCTTATTATAAAGTGTTACTCATGTTCTTATGAAGATAATACAGGCAGCTATGATTACACTACTTTCATCTAGCTCAGCGTTGGTGTTCATCTTGTATCAGCTATTTAATCTAGAGGTATGACTGATCAAACTGTGTACCCACATATACTGGTAACACCTTGACAAACTTCGATTTTGACTTTTAAGAATATCCTAGTATTGGGTGTAAAAATGTCAAACCACATTGCACAGTTGTTATTACACAAAGCTTCTGTGATGTTTTGTAGACATTTAAAAAAAGATGAGAATAGCTAGATACATTTCAGAAAGCAAGCAAAATGCTCTAAATCCATAACAAACACCAGCAGCACAACTAGAAAATTATCATTGGCTAGTAAAAATTATATATATATATATATATATATATATATCAAAACAAACGAGCAATATGTAAGTGCTGTGATAAGTTTCAGTTAGCCTAATGCAGTAAATGTAGCAAGGTTTTTTTTTTTTATATATAATAAATAAAAAGAAAACAAGTAGATAGAATAGAAAAGAATAGAGAACATTAGTGATAGAGGGTCTCTTTTTTATAAAGAAAGAAGAGTCGAAAGAATAGAACAAGAATTGAGAATGTTAATGTTAGAGGATCATTTTTTAAATACAAAGAAAACAAGTAGATAGAATAGAAAAATAATAGAGAATACTAGTGTTAGAGGCTCTATTATTTAAATAAAAAGATATATAAAATAATATAACCCTAAACATTCTTATGCTGATTACATTTCTCAGAGAACCGCTAATCTAAAAACACACACACACACAAAACACAGTATGCTCCATAATTTTTTGAGAAGGTTGTTCAAGAAATGCAGAAATGTATTAGATCTGGACAGGATTTAAAATCCGGAAAGGTCTCTGGTATATGTCTGCATACAAGTCTTGCTTCTGCAAGTTTGGTTATACACCAGAGCTGTATAGCAACAATATCCTCAGCCATGCTCTGCAGTAATGCGGAAACCACAGCTATGTGGCTTTAAAGTATGGGACTGGGGGGATGACAAATGTTTGACGCAAGAGGTACAATAGAACTGAGTAAGTGAGTTAATCACCAATTATACTTAACCTGACAACATTTAAGGTCATGCAAATGTCTAAAATTGTGGTAAATGGCCATAATTGTTTATCTGATGCAATGAAATTAATAAGTTTATGTGTAAAGCAATTGTATGTCAGTATATATGTTTAAATATTTATCTGACCTGTACGAGGAACTTGCTGGAACTGCTTGCATGAATTACAGAGCAGAAGTTCTGGCCCTCCAGTGCCATTTCTTTGCAGGCAGAGTGAAGCTTACACAGTCTTCAACACTTTTCTTGAGAAGATCAACCAGCTGTTTGTGGGAGCCACCATAGAACACCTCCAGCAAGAGCACACTCATGGATACAGGCCCAACCAAACCTGAAATTTAGTGTGAATGCATGCTATTATTGTAGAGTTAAAAAAAAAAAAAAATCACATTTCAATGACTCACATTAAAAAAGGAGACCGTAATAACCTATGATTATTAACCACATAGTGGAGAGGGTGTTAATAATAATCGCACTGGCAAAATTCACCCACATACAGTACTTTCCGAATCACATAGAATTTCATCATATATGTGTCACAGTTAAGTCATAGCTGGAGTGCATAATGAGTTAGGCTTAGGAAATACTTCAGCTGATCGTTTGGAAATGTACCTATCAATTCGATTGTTGTTTTGATAACTAAAGAGTCGGGCAGAAATTAACTACAAGCGACGTTACCAATTTAACTCGCTTCTTCAATAAGATGACAAACCACCCTGTCCAGCAAGCAACATGTAGTGACAAAAAATGTACTAAATCGTGTGCATAGATGTACTGCAGAATGAACTAATGCTATCAAAAGCTCGTCCTCAAGTAGCATTGGGAAGTTTTTAGAGAATTGGATCATTCAGACACAGAAAAAAAAATAAGATTCAACGTTCCTACCCAACATTTTAGGTCTTATTTTCAATGGCGTAATATTTAGTTAAAGGCTGCTATCACTATGTTTGCAACTGTTGTATAAATCAAGGTGTTTTGTTTTTAAGCGAGCGAGTCATTCATTCAGAAACCCCTTGCTGTTTATGTGGCAGATAAATACAGCTAATTTGTGTAAATAAATTGCAATGTCTGTTATGCATAAGTTTGCAGTTATGCATAGCTTGAATGTAGTTAACAACTTGTAGTAGCTAACTACTTTTTAAACAGCTATATAAAATACCTTTATGTAGTTAGCTTGTAGCTAAATTCCAAATTTTCAAAGTAGCTTGCCGAACACTGAATAAATTAAACAGACGACAAGCTGATGCTGTCAAATGGCACTCGAGACACTTCAAAATGACAATAATTTGTTTCTACGAATTTTAGTGGTATCTTGTGGCGGCCATTGACCATGCTTTTTTTTCCATGTAAACAGCCATGTGATAAACACTGCTGAGCACAGCATTTCATAGCAAGCAGAACTGTGAAAACGAATCAAAACTTTGCAACAGGGAACTGGAAATGTAACAACTTAAGTAGGTTTAAGCGTCTAACCTGAAAGGCTGGGGTTTTCCAATCGCTCGGATGTACTGAGTGGGATTTTCTCACACAGTGATTTACCTCTACCCTTTATACCTCAGTGCCTCCATTTTACACAGGTAGGGCGTGAAAAGCATTCGACCTCAAGATGGAGTGGAAAGTGAGGGGTTAATGTTGCCTCATTCAGACCCCCACACAGTTCATGCGAAAGGGAAACCCCGCAGTGCCCGACCTCACGACTAAAAGCAGCACCATCATGACAATCGATGGATGCTGAGTCATTGCTCAACTGCATTCAAAAGGCTCGCCTGTGTAAGAGTTAACTCCTTTCAATCAATGGGATACCATATAACAACACCATAACAGAAGAGTGGGGGATTCAATTTCTACTGATTTACACAAAATACCTTTGAAGGCGGAATGAAAAATTACATTTACACGCTAACCTTTTGCCAAGTCATGACCACATAAAACAAATAATAAATAAAAGAAGAGAATAAATTGGCATACTATAAAATTGAGCTATTTATACTGCATATACTGCATAAAATTAATCTTTACTAACACTGAAGACAAATTAAACCTGTAAAGGCTGACATATGAAAACAGTCAGTAGCCTATAATATGTGTGCGTATATTATATATATATATTTTTTTCATATATTTTTTATTGAACCTTTATACAAAATATTTAAAAAGTTTGCCTATGTTTTTTGTTTTTTTGGTTTGTTGAGTATCATATTTGATACATCAGGCTTTTTTTGCTCATACAGTATAACAGAAAAAAAGCCCAAACGTAGCAAAAGTATTCAATTTGGTACAGTTGCTGATATTTCTATGATCAAAAAGTAATATTAAATTCTGATAGCTTTCTGATAGTTTTTTATAATAGTATGTGCAGACTACATAAAGTGCATATTAATATCAGTTGTCACTGTAGGTTTTTTTAATTAGAAAAAAAAGGCCTTTTACATGCTAAAAAATATAAATTATCAATCAGACAACATAAGGCATGTTGAAGATTGTGTACAACAGGTTTCTCAGCAAAGTTTTGGTCACATTTATAATATAGAGGACTTAGAAATTAGCAGATGAAATATGATACAATAGGCTTTATAGGGTTAACAAACAGGCCTGGCACAAAATCTCCCCATTTGGTTAGCCAGAGAATTAACCATAGATATTCCTTCCTCCTTTCTCATAGAAAAACATACTTTTCCCCTGAAGAGACAAGCCGTTATCTAATCTGCATTATTCCAGATGAAATACAGGATTTCCTTTGGCTCTTGAAATAGTGGGGAAGAGGCCGTTTTAGAGAGAGACGCAGCCTCAGAGTACAAAAAAAAAAAAAAAAAACCTGGGATGCAGCTGATACATCCGCAGGGGCAGTGCACGAGGTCGTCATATCAAGTACCAATCCTGACGATTAAACTCATCAGTAAAAGTGACTCTACCAATGGCACCAATAAGTGCCAGTACAGGGGGGCGGATAGCATGGCACTGCCCAGTGACAAGCACCCAGAAACATGGCGCATTGGAGCGTGTAAGCCAACTCTCAACACCTCATTTTAACAGCCTCTAGCCATCCGTGGATTTCTTGAGTGTGTATGCCTGTGTGAATGTGTGTGTGTTTGCGTCATCACCCGCGATGGACTCTGACAGGGCAGGAGGAGGCCTTAAAGTGATGTGGTCTTTCTGGAGGGCTAATTCAGCCAGAATGAAACATCTGATTATGTACTCCCACACAGCAGACCAAAGCCACGGCTGATCACTTGAAATTAGATTCGAGCGATACAAGGAAACAACATGAGGTCGAGCCTAACCGTGCTGCATCTGAATTGTATCCAAAGTAAAACACCAACAAAATAAACTGGACTATTTAAAAAACTGGTCAATTTGTTAAAAAAAAAAAAAAAATCATGCATAGAATGACTTGAATAAACCTCTTCTGTTGCAAGCTTGTTTTTAAATTTCTAAATTAAAAGTAAATTGATTTCATGCACAAAGTCAAAAATCGGTGATTCAACTGTCCCGAAATTATAATACAGAGAAAAAAATATGTTGTTTACTAAGTACTAAAAATCATATTAATATAATTATTATAAGATGCACACACATATTCAAGGAAAGTGAATGCTAACACATTTCTAAGAACCTGCGTGTAGAGATGTTTCCTTTTCTTTATCGCAAACACTCCTATGTCTTATTGACCCATGTACCGCACTGAGATGCTCTTATTGAAAGTCAAACGAGTCAAGTCACGACAGATGAGAGTTGGTAGGCATGTTTTGTAATGAAGTGCACAATAAGAGATCAAGTAGACACCGTATTAACACGCTTTGTTTCCACAACATTTTGCCTGCTCAAATTAAAAAAAGCGAAACCTACACACAGAGGGAAAAATATTAGTGCCATCACAAAGTCTGGGTCACGAATGAGTGGGCAAAGTTCACTGTGCTCATAAATTCAGACGCTGGGCCGTCTCCATGGCTTGCATTTGCCAAAGTGCAGTTGATGTTTGTTTTATGTGCTGCAATCCAAGAGATCAGTTGATTTCATATTTTACAAACAAATACTGTGGCTTGTAAATACCATGGCTATGATTCTACTCTGCCTAAGACGTGAAAACCTTTACATTATATGCCCTAACAGTTGTTAAAAACAAACAGAATGAGGTAAAATACAAGAAAAGGCTAATTAACAACAACAACAAAAAAAACTATCCCACCTAACTTCCATTTCCTTCTAATTGCTAGTGAATATGAGTGATAAAATTTCATCGGCTCAAGCTGCATGAAATAACTGTGTCAAAAAAAGCTTTTCTGCAATGATATTGTTTAACAAACTGGTCTAATGAACGTTGCCAACACACATTCTTCAACCTCCAGACAGTCTCTGCTGAACTGAGTGGCATCCCAATCAACTAAAACACTATTAAGCCTTGTAAAATGATAGTCATTTGTTCCTGAAACCTTCGAGGTGCTCAGACTGACACTGCCACTTTCAGAAGGTTCACCACACGCACCGAAGGCACAAAGTACTATTCATAAACGCCTTTGATCTCACATTAGAGAAGCGAGAGGAAGTTCACATTTTAAACAAATTAAATTTTCAGACCATCCAAGTGTCTGTTCTGTCTTTTAATAGAGTGAGCCGTGTCCTCATTCACCTCGTCAGAGGCTTTGTGTTAACGGTAATCATTAAAGGAAAGGAAGCTGCTCTGTAATTACATGCTAGCGCTTACATGCTAATCACTGCACACTCGGCTGACGGAGATGAAGCGAGCCAAATGCCGGGCACGGTAATCATGTGCCATGAATTGAAGAGTTTAACCTGATTCTTTATCATTTATGGGTGACAATTAGGTGACAGAATACAGCATTCTGAATTAGACCAGGCTTGACACAATAAGACAAAAGCTAAACGCTTGATTCCTGAACAGGTCATTTAAAAGAAAATTTCCTCCAGATTTCATAAAGGGCTAATTTCAAGTGTCTAGTAGAAGAAAATTGTGTCTATTACTGTTAGAGATTTAATAAGATGGCAGAATATGGCCTCTATCACAGACATGGGAGGCATGAAGTGGACCAAATTAAGTTCAAAAGAGCTTTGTTTAAACTATCAAGATAACCAAAAATTTAGCCTAAATGAAAAGACATTATTTTAAAGTGAAATATATGGAAATTTTGGTTTCGGAGATACCTCAAACAGGCAAAAATATAACTGGATATGTGGATGACATTAATTCCAAAGGGTATTTAGCTACATGAACTGCATTTGGAAAATATCCCAATGCTGAATTTTTCTTTTGTCATTATCGAGAATTACAATTTCTAACTCAAATACTCATCTATACAGATTACTGGAATTAGTTATTATCTTACCAAAAATACCCACATTTCAAATTAGCTTTCCATGTCTATGTATTTCCATACGTGGGTAAGATATGCTTCCTGCTTAAAGTGTAATGCAGCACACAGGTTCTCCTCCATTTATGGGTCATATACGGTAACACATAATTCCATACCAAACAGAAAGGACTTGAATATCTCTTACTTAGTCACTGAATTAAGCACAACAGACCTATCAAATAGGTAAATGGATCAAAATAAGTGCACTAAAATAAAGGCACAAATTGCTGCCTATTTTTGTCTTTTTGCCGTATTTTTGGCCAAAATTGCGGCACAGGGAAGGTAAAATGTTTAAAAATTTAAAAGAGATGTTTAAAAGTACATTTATATACCTTTTCTCTCGTCAATACGACAGTAGGGATCAAACACAATGCATAAACGGGTGACAAAAATCTCAAGACCAGCGTTGTGACATTTCAAGGTTACATTCTTCATTTCCTCTCTCTGACTCATTTCAAGCAAAACACAGCTGGTCCAGCTGAAACCATGTGAATTAAGATCTGAAGCAACTACTCTGCATCATATTGCAGCATTTGAGCAAAGGCTGTGATATTCAGTAAAATATTGTTGGGCCCAAATAAATAAAAGCACTACTGGAATATTTGAATGCATTAGATTTTGTTAACTCTCATTTGTCTCACTTATCTGCATGCACTGCATTTGTCCATTATTGTTAACCTTTCTTTGACCACAGATTAATAATATAATAATTCTGGAAATATTTTTTAATGCATTTCTTACTTCAGCTAAAAATCTGACTGCTGTTTAAAAATGATTTGTTTGATTGTTAATTGTTATTCAGCAAACATAAAAAAGCACAAAGAAGCTAAAGCCACATTTTAAAATGTATTAATTTCAGTGCAATAATAAAATGTCACACAATGGATCATTTAAATACATACATAACTTATAATATACATAACTTATAAACTTATAATCTAAATATTTTTGCAAATAAAATTACTTAACCAAATGGAGGTAATTTCTCATTTTTTGTATGAAGTCAGTTCTTCTCAAGTGTCCTAGCAGAGTAACCATAGGTGTAATTCATCACAATAACTGAACATGTTCCAATAATGTTCATCAACCAGAAAGTATATACTATTTTTGAATTGTTTAATCATTTCAAATCAAATATAACTTATTTGTGAAAAGGGTGCTTATGCTATCTTTAAAAATTCCACTTGGTTTGATATGATATTATTTAACGCAAACACATAAAACACTGGGTTCAAATACAATTTGGGCCATTGTATGAAGGGCAATAACGCTGCATTCATACAAACGGCTACTCTTTAGTTTTCTTTTTTTTTTTAGTTTAGTTCTTTTTCTTTTTCTTAACGTTAATTCACATCACAGACACGGCAATGAGAACCAATTAACTTTAACTTTTGTTTAGAAGACAAGATACGCTAAGAAACATATCGATGACTGCACAACCGCATATACTCATGTTTGCCGTTAGTTGATCGATAGATAAGCACTCGGTAGCTAGGTTTTAAGCCAGTTAAGCAGGCAGAAACCAACATACATTAGCGTGTTTAATTCAGTTTTACCTCTTCCTGCAAGACGGCGCGTGTTTACGTCGTGACGTCACTATGCGTGAGGACGCTCTCCAGTGCGGTACCGTGAAGTCGTTTGTAGGCATCATGTGCTCATTCTTACACTTCGTAGTGTGAACTGAGCAGACGTGGGACAGTTTTTTTTTTGTTTTTTTTTTCACTATGGACTAATAATTTATAATATAACAAATATTTTGTTTATTGCAACAAATTTAGAATTTTGTCAAAATAAATTTACATTTATGCTGGAAAACGCTGGGTTTTGGAACATGGTTCCTGCTTTCTGGTCCAAGGTGGTCTACTAATTCTAACCAGCTTGATCAAGGTCTAAAAGGTTGATCTCTAACCCACCAGCTGGTAGTCCAGCTGATCGGCTTGGGCCAGCTATGACCATAAATGATTTTGACAGGCAGTTGTGGCATTTCCTTATCATCTTCAATTATTTATAAAGCTTATTTATTCATCCTTCAAACAGTGTAAAAACCTTTTAGTTTTTTTTTTTTATTTAATGATTGATTTATTAATGAGAGTGGTGCTAATACTACAGTATATATATGGTTATATATGGGGAAAATGG